AAAAAAAAAAAAAAAAAAAAGTCCATGAAATTATTGGGGTTTTGCCAAAAACTTCTTACAGTGCAAAAAATTTATAAGGTTTTGCAGTGTCAGAGGTATAAATCTCGCGAATATTCAATTGATGAAAACTGATTGCTATTCAAGGGAACTTAATTAACAACTTAATATTTCTATAAGTTGATCATTTTTCATTTTCTTCTAATTGGTAGTACCCTCCCAAAAAAATAAAAAAAATAAAAAAAAAATTGTTCGTTCATTATCAATCCTTATGCAGGCATAGATATGAGTTCGAATGGACCTTCTAAACATCCATCAGTGATGTCATTATTTGGTACGTCAGCGTTTCTTATATTTTTTTTTATTTGTACGTGTGTCGGTAGCTTGTGCTCTATTTCTTAGCTTTGTTCTTTAACATTTTCCGATTATAGGTGAAATGGACTTGAAAGATTCTATAATAGCTGAAGACGACCCAAAGCCCATGTTCGACTCCACGAGTTTTGATTCTTGATTCTCCAAAGAGGTGTGTTATGTGCATGAAGAGTTAATTGCTTTGTACAGAGAAAATCCAATCAGTTTTGAAGCTGGACATAAAATTTTGTTCAATATTTTACATTGTTTTGCTCTCTGGTCCATTTATATAGACATGAGTGTGTTCGTGTAAAGTCACTAAGTTTGTTCTAAACAATGCTTTATACATTATAAACTCTGTTATTGGTTATTGCTATTATTGTTACATAACATAATATACACACTATCAACAGATGCGGTTCGATCTAATCGAAAATATTGAAAAATAAAAAAATTGAAATTGTACTGCACTACAACNTTTCCTGAAATTGATTAAAAAAATGCCTACGCTAAAATAATTGAATTACATCAAATTGCCCAGTTCGAAAGGGTTGTTTGGACCGTATAGCAAGAGACCCGGTTAAACCCAATCAAGGCCGGTGGATCCAGGTATTTGCATGGTTTGGTCAATTCGGTTTGACCCAGCCATTAAATACATTTTAAATATATATGATAATATACAACATTATAAATAATTTATAGGGTATAAAATTTATATATAAATAATTTATTTTTATTATTATATATATTGTTATGAGGTAAAAATAATATAAATATAATTTAAAATTTAATAAAATTAATCACCCAATTCCACAATTGACTCCATAACTCAACGGTTGGACCGATGTTCAGTCTCGGTCAATCACCAGTCCGAATTTTAAAACTAAGCTCATATCATTAAATTTTTCTACACGTCTTGGAAAATATGGTACATTTTGTTCCATTGTGCTTAACTTTTTTATTTAACGACTGAAAAATAAAAAATTTTATGTTATTTTTTACAATTCAATAAAAGCTCGAACCGAGCTCGACTCAAATTTATCCAAGTACAAAAACGTTACCATATTTTAATCATAAGCATTAAGCATAACCGAACTAGCATTTAAATATTCAAAAATCAAATTATCATTTTCTTAGGCATTAAGGACAATAGGTCATTTTCAATTATCTTATCCTCGAATATCATTATCTATCTACGAGCACTCAGTTATTTATTATAATATTTTAACCGTACACAACGAAGCTATTCAAGCATCTATTTAATTTAATATTCGAAAAATTGTTTCTCACTAGAGTTCTTGCAACAATTTCTAAATTTTAAATTGTGGCTTACATTTCCCCATATCACTGTATGTTTACAAAAATCATGTATTAATATTATCCCTGCTCGAAATTGAAAAATAGTAAAATAAAAATAAAAATATAGTAATAATAAAGACCAAATTCGGCAGTTGGAAGTACACAGGAAAAGATCAAACAACACTAATCTGGAAAGAGAGATATTTTGCGAGTCCGTATGTAATGGGGATTTCGGATATTTTGAGGACCCAATAAAAATATCTGACCGCTTTAGGTGAGCCTTTGCCGAGTGCAAACGCATGTTCAAGCTGACACGTGTAAAAGCGTCGACCAGCTGGCATCTACCTTTGCGCTTTCTACAATTCCTAAAAACAATACGAACTAATAAAAACGGATTTTTCCTGATATAAGACCACAAAAATCCTAAATCACAACACTGTCTTAAGAAAAAAACCACTATCATCTTACATGAAATTTCCCATTTTTGTCTTCTTTTTCTGAAGGTTAATTTCGATTTGACGAGGTTATGGAGGACTCGATGGATTATTGTCGGGAGCAAGAAGAGACCTCAACTTTGGTAATAAATCTTTCATTCTTTGGATCTCTTTTCCTTGGCTGTTTATTTATTTATTTATTTTTTTTTTGCGGAAAATGAAAATCTTTATTGGGGGTTTAAGTTTTATGATTGATGTGTGATTTGGGGTTTATCGGGGGAAATAGGTTTGTGGGTTGGCTCCGTTGTTAAACAATAATGTAGAAAAACAAAGTGTAACATTAGCCAATCTTATTTGCTGATCAAAGTTAAATATTTGTGTAGTGAAAATATTGTTTGTCCAACTTTGTTTCATGGGATTCAATTGAACTTCGAAATCTGTATTTTGTTCTTTCATTTTTTTTTATTTAGTAGTGTTTAAGATTTGGGTCCTTGATCCTTCTAGGTTGTCCGGATTGCTTGTTTGTCCTACACAATCTGCTTAGTTACTAAACCTTTTTTCATAATCCACCGTTCTTCCATGAGTTTTTCCTTGATGCTAATTTGTTTTGAATTTGGTTTGCCTTAATTGCAATTTCCTTGAGAGAGCCTATGCTGTCTTGTTTCTGTATATGTATTTGTAAAGAGTTGGTTATCTGAGTAGAAATCCTAATTCTATATAACCTTGTACCTTAACAATGTTATGATCTACCACATTAAACTGCTTAGCTCGGACATTTCTTGAGGTAGATATCGAACGATTAAAATAACCGACTCCAAAATGTTTTATAGACTAGTCATATTAATAACACCATCGTGTCTGTCGCATTCTTAAGTAAGCAATATTTTCCATGATCTCGACACGTAAAGAATGAATCTTACAACTCATAAATTTTTCCTTAACATGTATGGTTAAATTTTTCTTCAAAGTCAATCAACTATTTCCTTACAGTTCGAAATACGATATGAAATGCCATTTCTATTTTGTAACACGTATTATTTTTCTTGTGTTTGGAAGTGTATGTTCTTTCTTTCTTCACGATTTTTGACAAATTATTAACTCCAGCGGTCTCGAGCGAATGAAAGGAGCCCCACCAAGTGGACGGATGAAAAACACAGCCGTTATCTGGAATCTATGGAGGCTACATTTGTCAACCAGCTCAACAAATCTTTAAACTTTTTCGGTCGGCACTCGAACAAAAGCTGCCAGTCGGGGTCGAAATCGTCCAAGCACAGGCATGGCAACTTTCATGCTCCTTCCAGCCAGGTTTTGCATTTAACATCCTTGTGATTTATAAGCATATTACCATAACACACTCACATATATACAAAAAAGGAAATATATATTTAAAAAAATGACTATTAATCCCTCAGTAAATGTTTTGGGGCAGTTTTACATCAAATTAAATTTCAAGAGTAATGTTTTGAGGGGTTTGTTTTAATTTTGGAAGATAGCTGGATTTTGCAATAGCTCTGGTTCTGATTTTTTGTTTTCT